CATGGATATTATCCTATCACAGACAGCATTGTACCTCATGACTGATCTGAATTATGTTCTTTTTGACAATGAATGCAACACCATTCCTCTTTGTCATTCCAGGCATAAAATGGCTAATAGCAGTTCATTTCAGCTCACTAATGCCTAAGATACTGATGTTGATGCGTTTCATTTCATTTCGACAACTTCCATTTTACCCAGATTCATACTTCGTACATTCCAAGTTCCAATTTTCAATGGATGTTTACAGTTGTTTCTCTTCATTTTGAGTTGTGCCCCATCAGCAAATGAAGGTTCCATGGGCTTACTCCATTCGCTTTATCATGGTCAACTCTACTTTGAGGTGGCAGCGCTTCCCCAATCGCATTTTGAGTGCCTCACAACCTAAGGGGCTCATTTTCCAGCACTCTATCTGACAGTGTTTCTCTGCTCTTCATAAGGTTTTCAGTGACTAGCGATTCGGAAGTAGTTCGTCACTCCTTATTCCTAGTCTGTCTTTGTCTGGAAGCTCATCTGAAACCTGTCCACCATGGGTGATTCTGCTGGCATTTAAATTACCAGTGGCATAGCTTCCAGAATCACAGCAACTCACAGCCACCACAGTACGACAAACTGACAAATGTGTGCTTTAGAACACTGAAAAAACCATATAAAGACGGACTCTACAGCACATAACAACAACAACAACCATTTTAAGAGTCATGGTATGGTACTGTAGGATAAGCACTGGACTGCGAAACGCAAGGTTGGTAGTTCAAATCCAATGACCTCTTCTTGAAATCCTATACAGGGACACTGTGAGTAGAATGAACTTGATGGCACTTAACAACAATTTAAGAAAACTGTTTTTGCACTTTCCCCAAACTATATATCTAGAATGTGCTACAGGCATTTTTAAAAACCAGTGCACTAAGAGAAAGGGTCCCCCTCTGCCGTTGGCATGAATGCTTTTTGGGGAGCAGAGCTTGCAGTAGGGCCGATGCAGATGCTAGACAGAGGGGTGCAGAGTTCTGAACGGTTCCGTTAAGGCACAGCGTGCCCCAGTTATCTCGTACTGTTGAGGGTTAATTAACTTCTGTTTGGTTGTTAGTGTGTCGTTGCTGTGTGCCCTTAAGTTGGTTCTGACTCCCAGTGTGCCCTGTATAGTGTCTCTGAGACTTTGTGTCTACAAGGGAGCAGAAAGCCTCATCTTTCTCCCACAGAGCAGCTGGTGGGCTTGAACCATGGACCTTGTGGTTCACAGTCCAGTGCTTATCAAGCATGTTATATTTAGGCATTTTGGTGGCAAAGTGGTTAAAGGCTTGGCTGCTAATTGAAAGGTCAGAGGTTGGCACCCAGGAACCTCTCAGTGGGAGACAGACCTGGCGACCTGCTCCCACAGAGGTAACCACCTCGGAAATCCTTTGGGGCAGCTCTACACTGCGCATGTAACCGACTGGACGGTACACGGCAATGACTACAGTCTAACTCACGGAAATCCCATGAACTCTAGAGTAGTGTGCCAGACGGTGTTCTGGACTAGGAGTCAGAACCAAGTGGACGGCACACAGCAACAACAATCTTTAAGGAAGGAGCCTGGTGTTACAACAAAAGGTCAGCAGTTCAAACCCACCAGCAGCTCCTCAGCAGGTAAAAGTCAGCGTCCATAAAATCTCCAACCTTGGAACCCTAGGCAACAACTCTACTCCGTCCTACAGGAAGGCGAAGAGTAGAGCGGACTCAGTGACAAAAGGCTATACACTATTCGTTACGCTACACACTGAAGAAAACAAGATTCAATTAATTAAATTATAAGAAATCATAATTCACCTTTTAAAAGATTTCAACAGACTACCTTCTAACCCACAGTGGACTTAAAATGACCCAACCTGCATAAAAGTCAGTGTCTAGTCAATATTTCAGTTCAAGAGGATGAGAAGAGGAAAGAAACAAGAAAGGACTCTATTAAAGTTCACGCAGAGCTCCTGTCTGCCGAGCACACCTGTAAAATTCTTCTTTCCCGGCCTTGCCATCGTTGGACGGGATGAGCCACCCTCCGTCGGCCAGCTGCATCCCCTTCACAGTCCAGGAGCCTTCCCGCCCAAAGTAATCCTGCAGATGAAACTCAAAGGTCTCTGCGTTCCTGCTGGTGATGGCGATGCAGTGTTTAGGAATGCCACACATATACAGCTGCACCAAGAAAGGAGACAGAATGAAAACTGAAGTCAAACAAAACACACGCCCTGATGAGCCCCAAATCCACCCAAGCAAAAAAGCCTTTTGGAATTCACCGCTTTCCATTTAAATGTGAAAATATTCACTAAAAACATGAGTCATTATGGAACGATGGAAACTTTCCTGCATGCTTTTGCGGCCCCTCCCTTTCCCACCTGCCTGCATCCATCAATGGTGCTCCTGTTCTAGCTGCCACTGATTAAGTCACCATGGGAACAGCACACAAAGAGAACCAAGTCTTAGGAGACCTCTCAAGTTCAAACCTTAGCATGGAAGGAGCTGTGAAACAGACAAGGATTCATGGATACGACCCTGTGGCAGCTCTCTGAGGCTGCTCCACTTTCAAGGGGCTTCACCTTTACTCTAAGGAGCCCATATGGCACAATGGTTAAGTGCTGGGATGCTTTGAATCCAAAAGACCTGGAGAGCCACTTCCATAAAGCTAAAAGCCTAGGAAACCCTGTGGGGCAGTTCTACTGTTACACCAGGGGGCGCTGTGAGTGGATGATGTATAAGAGTATATA